TGTTGGTTGTTTTGGAGGAGCTTGTCATGCTGTCTTTCCTGATGAACTTGGCTGTTTTCATCCTCTGAGGGGCTCGAGACCTTGTTGTCACTGAGAATAGCTTTGGTTCACTTTGGGGGAGCTCTGGTCCTCACTTTGAGCATTGCTTCCTGCAATGAAAGCAGGAAGGTGGTACAATGCTGGTCTTTTGGAGAAGCTTGATGCATTGGCTTCCCTGATAAGAAGTTGACCATCTTGATCATCAGAGTAGCTCGGGACCTCACTGTTGCTAAGGATGGCTATGGTACCTTTTGGGGGAGCTCTGTTTCTTCTGAGCATCACTTTCTAGCTCCAGTGCAGATCCATCAGCCTGCTAGCACAGATCCTTCATCCCACTGGCACAGACTTCCTAGATTCCACCACTGACCTTTGGGCCTTCACAGATACATGAAACACACCTGCATGAGATATTGTTATGGGCTCTAGGCCCTCAGCTGGATTCCCTGGTCTTGAACTCATGCAGGACATTTCTGTGGGATCTAGGCCCTTAGCTGGATTCCTTGGTCATTCCTTGGTCTTAGTATGTGGACAAATTTCCTGCACTCTTTTGTATATCATTCTTTGGATGACTATTATAAATAATCTTATAAAATATGTATCCTGTATCATTGTATCATTGTTTCCCTTGCAAAAATAAGCACCAAAGCATAACAAAATTGGTACCGAGAGTAGGGTATTTATTGTTGTGATGATGTCTGGCCATGTGACTTAAGAAACTTTGAAATTAATTTGGAAAAGTTTTGAGAGACTGGCCAAAGAGGCAGCCCTTGTATGCTGCAAACTATATTGGAAACTCTGATTGGAGCCTTGAAAGTCAGAGTACTGATGGAAATGCTACCAGTTACGATGAAGCTCAAGAAGCTTCAATTGAGGACTGCATTGGCTGCTGGATCCCAGGTAATATATTGTGCTTTGGCAGAAGTTGGTCTGCATTTTGCTTGTGTTTAGCGATATTGCCTGGTTGGAGAAACAAAAATTTCAGTGTAGTCTATTGTTGAGACAGTGGCATGGTTACTATTGAGAGCTTTTGGCCAGATCTGTTTGAAATTAAGAGTAAAGAGCCAGTAAAGTGATATGAAATATTTGGCCAGAGGGGTGGTGCTAATGGAGCTTTGGGTTACAAGGATGAAATAGAGGAAAACATGATTGCTAAGAACAGGACAATGAAAACATGAACTGAAATCTTTCACCCAAAGATAAGAGTGTATTTGAATTGCAGGAGATCCCCATTTTTTAGTCTTGCCATGCATTGTAAAAATTAATGGGAAATAAGGACTGTGATTCTAAGTTCTTTTAATGTTTTTATGTTGTTTTAGATATATGTTTGTAATCGGGTTTATTCATCAAAGTATTGTCTTTTAGCCTTGAATTCTGGTCACTTTGAATATTTTGTTTTTGGTGCAGGAATGAGTGCAAAAAAAAAAAGAGAGAATTGTATATATGTAACTGTTATATTAATGTAAATGTGGATAGACCAAGACATGTTAATTTTCACAAATCTGCCACTATGGATTAAGACTGTGGATTAAGGAAATGTGTATGGTTATCAAGTTGACTGGGGGTGGATTGTGGTAGATTGACAACTGGTGGTCAATTTATAACCCCCAGCTGAACTGAGTAAGCCTGGTGCTGGTTGTGGGTGACTATTATAAATAATCATATAAAATGTGTCCTGTGTTATTGCTCCCCTTGCAAAAATAAGCCCCAAACCACAACAGGGGGCAAGCCTCTTTCTTTTCCTCCCTTACATTATAAGCAGGCTATCCTCCCCCCACCCACCCCTGGTTGGGGGGAGGTGGTTGTAGCACTCACACCATACCTGTGCCCTTCTCTTGCACAGGCTCCAGATGTTTACAAATGAGGACTCTGGCCCCCTGCTGAATCATTTAGTTAAACTTCTGAACTTCTCAAGTGGACACAATGAACAACATCCTAGAGCTGTAAAGGCATGTCCTTTTCACCCCAGGATGTAGGACTGCTGAGTTATTTAGTTAAGCTTCTAAACTCCTGAAGTTGACACAATGTATCAACCATAACCCTCCCCTAAAGCAATCCCTCTCAAGTCAAAGCAGGTAGATTAAAATTTCACCCATTCTCCTTTAACCACAGTTAGGGGTCAGCTCTTCAGAGAAGGGAAACATTATAGGCAGCTAAATCAGATAAAAATTAATATACAGTCAGAGAGGAACTGTGTTCTCAAGGAAGTCGGCAGAAAAAAACAAAGACATCAAAATGGTCCTTGGAGGTGCATCCAAAGAAGGCCAGGCCTCAAGATAAAGACCTCTGCTCAGTGCTGTCTCCACCAGCCTGTTCTTACTTCCTGAATCTGGGTTAAGTGTCCCTTCATACCTACCATATTCTCCTACCACCTGTGTCCCTTCACAGACCAACAACCAACTGCATTGTAATTGTAGGTCCTTTGCAATCAGGGGTTGACCAACATTTAGCTAAGGGCTGGATGGTATATATTTTGTTTTGTAGGACTTGAAATGTTATAGTAACTCTGCCATCAGACTGCAACTGCAAAAGCAAACACAGAGAACATGGTAATGGAAGAGTGTGGCTGTGTTCCAGGAAAACTTTACTGATAGACACTGAAATGTTAATGTCCTATAATTTTCACGTGTCACGAAACATTCCTTCTTCCAACTATTTGAAAATGTGAATGCTATTTGCAGTGTGAAGTCTACACCAAAAGCAGATAGGCTAGATTTTACCTGTGGGCTGTAACTTGCCAGTTCCTGTATCAGTAATATAAACTTTTAACAGCCAGAACATTGGTTGTCTCATCTGACTTTGTATCCACAGTGCTTGCTACAGTATCAAACTAATAGTAGATGCTTAATAAGGACTGGCTGAATAAATAAAACTTGCACAGGTCTTGGGCAAGTAATAGTGTCAGAATCCAGTCCTGATTCAAATTTAGCTGACAGTGTGATGCCACATTCCCTACTCGGTAGCTGATGGGCACCTGAACTCTGTAATTACTGTAATCATTGCTATCAGCCCACCCTCCATTCTTCTGGTCACTATTATGTAACTTGGTCTTATTCACTGTGTGTGTAGGGTTTAAAATAGTACAGATTGTGGTCATTTCCATTCTATAAAACAATAAACTGCCTTCAGACTACTTTAGCTTTCAAATCAGAGGCCCCCAAACCTTTTAAGTTATGTATATTCTTAGAGCATCATAACTCTGACTTCCAAAGGCTATCAGTTAGGACGAACCCGAAGTGTTGTCAAGACATTTTCTTTCTATGCAGTCTTATAAGTACTTGACTCTCTGCTTTCTTCCCCTTTGAACATGTCAAACAGAAAGGCCCTAAAGAACATAGAACTCTAGTACATGGACATTCTCTATGACCTCACTTTCCAACGTGGATATGGTTACCAGGGCAACGAAGTTAATTACATATGGAACATCAGAAGCTTGGCCACAGGGCAGGACAGGGCAAAAAGGCTGGGACCCTCCCATTCATGAAGGTCAACACCCGACCACAACAGAAGTTCAGGTGTTGGTTAAATGTGGACACTAGGGGCCAGAAGAAGCAAACCCAGACAACTAGGTAGCCATTTCATAAAACAAGAAAGCCGATGGAATGCCAGTCAGTGGGGGAATTATGCAATTAGTTAATATTTTAGTAATCTGAGAGCTTGAATATGAGGCAGTCACAGAAGAAACAATAAAATATAGTTGATCAGAGTAGTGTAAAAAGGAAATACTGTATAGGAAAAACACTTTGAAATTAGAGGTTGATCTCCAACTATCTGTAAGACTAGGTCATTTTTGTGTTCTGAATAAATCTCAGTTTATTAATCTACTTAAATGGTTAGATTGAAAGTCCTCACTGAATACTGATTTGGATATTCACACTACTAATTCCTTTCCAGTTTTAACATTTACTAATTCAAGAATGTTTTAGAACTAGAACTACAAGTAGTTTCAGCTTCAGAGAAGTTTGGTTCCTGACCAAAGGTGAGAATGAGTTTATAATTCAAATTTAGTGGTTATATAGGTGCAACAAGCCAACAAGGTCATCACTTGGCGTGACTGTTTCTAAGTGATTCTAATCTTTCCTGCCTCCCGTCATAGCCGTCACATATGACACCATTTATCATTGCTCTTATATGCTACGCTGTTTCAATCTAGGTAAGAAAGTCCTAACTCTCCACCATTTTCTTCACATGTAGAAAGGAAGAAACAAGCTAAAACGACATTTTCAATGTGGATTTCCAACCCTGACCAAAGTTACAGCTGAATGTAGACAGGGTATCACACTTTAAAATATTGTGTGTCGGGGGAAAGGGACAGTAAATCTTCACTGCTGGAAATGCTTCACACTCCTGCTCAGTGCACGTAGTGTCCCAGCAACCGCAGCTTCCCGGGGTAAGTTTTTACCTAGGCAGTTCATCAGTAGTGGTATCTGATAAACTTTTTTGTGTAGCCCAAGAGAAAATATATTACGCAAACAAAACTATTGGGCTGGTTTTATTTTGTGAGTAAAGTGTTAGCTACACCAGCTCTGGGGTAGGCTGAAGGCCTTTCTGTCTAGCAGTGGGGGTGGGTGGGAAACCAGCCAGATGGTCCTCATATCAGGGTAAAATAGAAAGGTCACGCTCCAGTTCTCACACGGGTTGCTTGTATTTCTCAACTGTCTCTCCCGACAGTGAGCTAAGCACTGGGTGCTTTTCCATGTGGCAATTTCTGTTTCTATTTGTGAACAGCTATCTTAGTTCACGGACAAGGGGTACGTTGAAGGAGTCCACAGAATCGAGCAATCCCAGCTTCCACGCTGATGCCTCTCCCACACTCTGAGATGGGACACCTTCCCACCCGCCTATTTTCCACCTGCCTAGGCTACTTGAAGGTGTTTCCTCTGTAGTGCCCTGCACCAACACGACACTACATTGTCCGCCTTTACACTGCAGTTGTTCGAGGTCCGTGCAAGGGCACCGCATACCTTCAGTGCCACCGTTACTGGAAGGGTCGCAGAACCTGCAACCTGTTGAGTGGAGAATGAACGGAGCCTGCCTGGGCGATCCTCTTCCTCTGTTTTCTATGGAGCTCCACGTCGAAAATGTTACTGATTTAGCAAGGACCTTAAAGTCTAACCTGTGGAGGAAGCGTTGAGGGCAGGGAAAGGAAAAGGTGTACTTGTGGGTAGGGGGGAGAGGTGGATAACCGGAAAAAGGTGGAAGAGGCAGAATTCGGGACCAATCCTCGCCCCTGCGCTCGGGCCCCGCCC